TGCTGAAATTCCAATTTGGGGTACACAACAAAAGAATGAGCTGAAGGCATTAGCGACGATTTAAAATTCCTCACCAGGAAGCAGGAAGTGGCGTTCCCTTGAAAAACCCTCAGGAACTAAAAAAGAAACATCTTATCTGTTAGTGTGAAGCCAGACGCTGGTGTGTAGGTGGTGTAAAAGTGGGATTCCAGGTTATAGCGAATGAAAAACTAGGTTTATGTGGACATTTTAGGGGTTTCAAGACTAAATCTGGTTTGTCTGGGAAAGTTCGGGGACGTCTCACCTGGCAGTTTTTGCCTGGTCGGACAAATTAATCCCAAAGAGACACAAATAAGATACAAATAAATAAGTCGGCCATTTTTATTAGGTCACCAATAGGAAGATCCCAGGCAGGAAAATCCTAATTGCTTTATGGCAATATAGACATTAATTTAAAAATAGTTAAATGAATCTTTCAAACACTTAGTTAAACTTTATACATATTATGTTAAAATAGTGTATATTAAATCGGTTTGTACAAGTTTAACCAAAAAATATTTATTTTTCACAATTATGAAGGCTGGAGGGTTAGGATTAGGGTAATTAATGTGGGCCACCAGTCACGATAACATCAGTAACAGGTCAGTTTGAAATGAAAGACACAATTCAGTTAAATTTTGGGGTCTTTGTTTTTATCCTTGTGGTGTCGAAAATGGTATTGAGTATCGAGTATTTTCCTGAGTATTGGTATCGAGTTGAAAATGTTAGTATCGTGACAACCCTAATAAAGAGAAAGTGAAACTAAGCGGTGTTACTCCTCTTGGGATGATCTTGACCCATGTAGATCCAGATCCACGCCGCCATCTTGTCTGGAGCAACTCCTCTCTTGCCTGGTCGGGTCTCTCAGGGGTGTGTTTTGTTTCAGGGCCTCGCGGTGCGGCTGTGCGAGATGGACCCACCCTATGGCCGTGGGTACACCATAGAGCCCTGGGCGGTGGACGCCATAAAGCGGGTGTGGAACGACCACGGCGTCCAGACCTGCTACGACCGCCGGAGGGAGTTCCAGCTGTCCGACTCGGCCAAATAGTGAGACCTCCTAGCTGTCTCCAACCTTTTCTGGCTATTCTAAAAGTGAGCGTTTAGAGCCTGATAAGCGTTGCTTTACCTTTCAGTTACCTCAGTGATATGGACAGGATCGCCGATCGAGATTACCTGCCCACCCTGCAAGACATCTTGAGGGTCAGAGTTCCCACCACGGGCATCATAGAGTACCCATTCGACCTCACAAAAGTCATCTTCAGGTACTGTACGCTCCTATGTTTCCTCACCCGGACAGGTTTTCGGACATTTTGTTGGACGGGATTTAAAGGAGACATATTATACCCTATTTCAAGAAGTTAAACTAGTTCCCTGGTGTCCTAATGTAATGTCTGTGACAAGCTTTGGTCAAAATCCCATAAGGCTGAAGCACAATAGCAGTTCAGTCCCCCTGCCAAAACAGCCCCGTTCAGAGCGCTCGCTTTGGAGTGCCTGTCTCTTTAAATGCAAATGAGACACAGGCAATCCACCCACTTCTTCTGGGAAGGTGTGCCCACGTCGGCATGCTAACGCTACCATGCTAACGCTCACGCTACCATGACGTCTGCCACAGATAGGGGAGTAAGCTGAGGGGGGGGGCAACATGCAGGTGAAAGGCTGGAATATTATAATGAGCTAGAGCTAATGACGTCAGAAACTACCCACTCCTGAAACCTCCTGATTTATCTCCTGGATTCAGGCCCACAAAAACATGACTGAGTCATTTTTTTTCACACTTTGCCTGCTGATAGGCCCTCCACAGTCCCAAATGTACATAATCAAACGATTAAAAACTGGGTTTTGCATAATATGTCCCCTTTAAGAAGAGGAAGTTAGTGGGCCCTGTTGGAGGTGTTTTCTGAGTCTGAGTCTGAGATTCTGTGATTCCTCCAGGATGGTGGATGTTGGCGGCCAGCGTTCTGAGAGGAAGAAGTGGATCCACTGTTTCGAGAACGTCACCTCCATCATATTCCTGGCGGCCCTGAGCGAGTACGACCAGGTCCTCTACGAGAGCAAGAACGACGTAGGCGCTTTTGTTTGTTCTCCGACCCCTAAAAGGTTTTAGGTTTGCTCGTTTTTTTGCTGAAGACGTTCTGACTCTACCTCCTCAGAATCGGCTGGACGAGAGCCTGGCCCTGTTCAGGACCATCCTGTCCTACCAGTGGTTTCAAGAGGCCTCCACCATCCTCTTCCTGAACAAAAAGGACCTGCTGGAGGAGAAAATCGTGACGTCACATCTGGCAACTTACTTCCCTGACTTCCAAGGTAAATGAGATGACGCCGTTGTCCTAACGGGACGAACCTTTAGGTGGCAAAAACAAAACAGCCATGGTGTAAAATACTCCAATTCGGGAGGGATTCAATTATCTGGAGACATCTGGATTTTTATATGTTGTCTAAAAATGTTCAGTTCAAGACTGTTTCCTAAAGAAAGACAGAATAATCTTTATAAAAGACCAATTTTTACGTTGTTTTGCTGTGTTCACATCTTGTTACTGACACTCTAAAAACGAAGCTAAAACCTTAACCAAACATCAAACTGTCAGACCATAAATTGAAAGAAATGTGACACATGCATTTTCCATCACGATGTGTGGGATGGAGAGGACCCAGACGCAGAACTTTAGCGGCATTAAAAAGCTGGAGGTGCTGCAGAGCGGGACTAAAAATAACCAACAGGTCAAGTGGTCAAACGCAGATGGGTGGATTTGAAGTGAAATGTATGGCAGAATGCACACCTGAGCTCCCAAACTACATTATTGGGAACAAAACTAAACGGATCAAATGGATACAAGCAAGGACAAAAAAACTAACAGAAAGACAATAGACCAGGAAGTAAAGGTAACCATTAACCAAAGAAGACATAGAGCTAACATCACAAACACACACCACACAAGTAAACCAAAGCTGATCCAACAAAACCAGAAAACCTAAAGCAAACAGAAGATCGGAGCTCATAAATCAAATCGCACGTCAAAGATTCCACCTGCAGGCTTCCTTTTTCTTCTCCCCCAGAATCTCATTTCTGCTAACGACAGGCGGAAGCTTTTCATTCGGCCAACTTTAAAACAATCTCTCCTTCAATCGCTGCCTTTCTTTGTGATTAAACTGTAATAAAGCGGTGGGATGGAGGAACTAAAGTTGGGAAATGAGAACTCCTCCTGTCCGTTGCGTCAGGTTTGGGATTCAGATTCCCTTTGATAGGAGATGTCTCCTGACTAACCAGCTAACCAGGAATTCTCTTTCATTTTTTAAATGTCTTTTTATTAAACACAAAACAAACTTACATTCTTGCCTCAAGATATAGATTTTGGTGTTTTAAACATTTCAAATTACCCCCACCCCTCAGAACTACTGTGCGTCTACCCACAAGATCAATAAGCAATAAAACATTAGTGAGTAATCTATATATACATTTACATCTTAGACCATAAAGAAAAGGAAAGACAAAAAGAAGTAGTTATCATGACAAATACAAATACAACCAAAGAGTAGTGAAACAACATTAACCATGTATATGCGTATATATACATATGTTCCTAGCATTCTTCCCCCTGTTACCAGGTATATCTGATTGTGTAAAATTGGATTTTTAGCAAAGTTTTTACCATTAAATCGTGCAAAAGGTGTCAGATGCAAAACATTTCGGAAACCGTATGTATCAAATATGATACATTTGGCATTACAGGGTCAAGAAAGTGATCATACATATATTGATTTCCCTAACACACATCTTAAGGGCACTGTATATTGTATATTCCCTTTTTTAACAAAGTGCATGTGTGAATTCGATCGTCTCAGGGCCTCAGGGGGATGTCGAATCGGCCAAGAAGTTCATCCTGAAGCTGTACGTGGAGCGGCACAACGAGCACCCAAAGCCGATGTACTCGCACTACACCTGCGCCACGGACACCGAGAATATCCGCGTGGTGTTCAAGGCCGTCAAGGACACGCTGCTGCAGGACAACCTGGAGAAGTTCAACCTGGAATAAGAGCCCAATAGGGGCCAGTTACAGACGCGAAACGGGGTTCCGGCTCCTTTTTTTTAAACACTTTTTATTGTTGTTTTATTGCTTTTTTTACCTGTCGGTTGCGGTTTGGTTTCATCTCGAGCACATTTATCCGGAGTTAAAGCAACGACTCCGTGTGTAGTTTCGCTGTTCGGGACGAGCTCGGGGACACATATCGCTTTTGGTTTACACAGCTGATCTTATCAGACCTGTTTTGTATCTTTTAATTTTTTTCTAAAAGTCTAATCAGACCTGTTTAACAGCGTCTCATCGGGCAAAAATGCAACTCGCCCTGCAGGACGGCTCCGAGAAGAGGAAGTAAGAAGACACCCTGCAGGCGATTACAGTATCTGTGTTTATCCCTTTTTTTTTTTTGTTTAGCTTTCTTTTTTCCCCCTCTGGCTTTAACAAGAAATACAGACGTGTAACGTGTGTTTTGAAATCTGAATAATGCTGTACCTTCTTTTTCTGTCACTTTGCACAAA